GCTCCGGGGGCCGGCGGCGCAAAACGGCCCTCTCACTCCGTCGCTCACCTTTCCCTAGCCAGGCTGTTTTCGTTTTCCCATCTCCCGCTAACACGTTGGCAGTATTAACAGCCCTTCGGTAGCTTTGCAAAATTTGCAGCGCGCTCAGGAAAGAGAGATTAGATGAGACTTGTTCCTTGCCCTAAAGGGTTTGCAACTGAACCAAGAGCCGGCAAACCCCGCCGAGCGGAGGGAGGGTGTCTGTCCGGTGCCCGCAGGGGCCAGCAGCGGGAGGGCCGGGGGCAGTCTGCGGGCGCTGCACGAGGGGGCTGCCAGGCTCTCCCGCCTGCGCGGGGTCCGGACATGGCGTGCGAGCCCCAGGGCAGGCTCGCGCGGGGCCCTGCCCTGCCCTGCTCTGCCCCGGTGCCTTTTTCCCACCCCTCCGAAACCTACGCCTTTCGCCTTTCCCCACCGGTTTGGGCTTCAGCCCCGCTGTCTCTCTCCTGCCCCCCAGCACCGGTTGCGCCTGTCTGGGTGCAGCCGGACGGACCCTGGGATGCGGATGGGACAAGCCGCCGGAGCAGTCGTGGCACACAGCGAAATGCGAGCAGTCCTGTTATGTGGAAATGTATTAATTGCATTAGTATTTCCACTGGAAATTATAACTTAGATCCATTGAGTTCAGCCAGTTTCCTTCTCCTGCATCTGCTAAAAGGACACCTCTGTTTTTTCCAGTGCAGTGCTTGTCAGTGCCACCAGTGCTAAATTTGTGACAGGCTAGTCAGATCCATGTGACCCCTTCTCAAAAGGCCACACACTACCTCCCCCTCCCGTCCTCCCCTCCCCTCGTTTCCCCAAAAGGTAGTCCGGTATCTGGGCTACTGAGAAACAGAAAACTCTCCTTGTGAACAACCAAATCAGATCCCAAACCCCATCACTAATGAACAGAGATGTCCTGTGATTTAGGTCGCCCTGGATGGTCTTTAAGTCATTCACAGGTGTAAAGTCAGGAGGATTAAGGGCTCATAATATTTATCTGCCACTGCAGTTACCAATTCCAGCAAAAATAATGGAGCTAGCTCCTTGGGTTTCCTGACACCACAAAATACACACATGCACACACTCTCTATTTTATGAATGTTTACATACCCAAGCTGCCAGGAATCTCACTCCCGTTGCTTCCCACCACCTTAACACACTTTCCTGTATCTCTGTGAATTTGTTTTCTCACCAAGCAGCTGGTAATACCCCTTTTGCTTGGGACCAGGAGGAGCCCGGACTTCCTCAGGTGCCAGAAATGCCTGGCAGAGGGCGGACCTACAAGCTGCGGTTTCCAGCTTGAGCCATTCACACCTCCCAGTGGCTACCCAGAGATGCTCCAGAGAAGGAGCGCAAGGCCGAAATAAAAGGAAGGATTAAAAAGTTAGGGACGGGCGACAAAGGGCAAGCGGAGAACAGCCACACTGACATCCGCCTACTCGCCCTCAAAGGCCACAGCGTCTGCGAAAGTGCCTGGAACGGAAGAAATATTTACACCAACTTGCGGAGACTAGAAGAAAGGCACTTCCACACCTCCACCTCCAGCGGCACAGCCAACAAAAATAGCACCTGACCCAAAAGATATGAATAGCGCCTGCAGAAAGCTTCGGCTCATTTTACGCCCCCAGCAGAAATAAGGGCAGGAGGCTTATCCTTCTGCCACCACTAGCCTCCGTATCTCAGAGCACTGGTGCAGAAAATACACTTCTATTTACCTGCAGGTTCCCATGGAGGGGGGGAGTGAAACGTCTAACTCATCCTACACGCACAGGGGAAAACTTTTTTCATGTGATGGCACTATTTCCCTTTCCTAGGGTGAAACTTTGGAAACCGAAAACAAACAAAGAAACAAACAAAACCCCCTTGTTTTCAGTAAGTCAGACTTTTTTGTACTTGCATTCTTTTTCAGTAACTCCGACTCTAGCAACCAGATCTGCAAGCTTACTACAGATGAACGGCTCAAGGGGAAGAAAAGCCGAGGTATCTTAAGATAGCAATACTCTTCTGCTGTTATGGGAGCTGCAACAGCACCAGTTATATTTGTGGCAAAGCTGGCGATTCGATTCAGTTTATACTTGGTGCTCAGAGCAACCTCCTGATGTACTGACTGGGAGTTAAGCTGGGTGAGGAGCGCAGCCATCCCCATGAGACTGTTACCTAGCTTTTAGCAGCGGCAGGAGCTGGGGATCAGATTATCCCATATCAGCTGGTGAGGAGCTACTCGTGCTCTCCTGTGATGCTCCCTGCACAATTCACTCCCAAAAGCAGTCTATCAGGATTAGATGGAGCATAAATCATAAAAATAGAACATAACATAAAGTAACTATACTAGGTCAGATCAAAGGTCTGTTTTGGCCTGCGTCCTCTCTCCAAGAGCAGCCAATAGCGCATACTTAGGGGAAAAATGGGGGAATCACAGAATGATACTTTTTCCTGTGCATTGTCCAGCAACATGCATTCGAGGTCTTCCTTTGGCTTTAGGAAACCTCCAGGGACTTTTCTTCCATAAATACATCAAATTGCTTTTTTTGACTCCATTTATAATTTGACCTCCACAACATCCTGTGATAATGAGCCCACAGTTTTTTGCACACACTATTTGGAAAAGCACCTCCTTTAGTTTTAAACCTCCTGGCTTTGCATTTCATTTGCTGTCCCCTAGCTCATTCCCCATTCATCGTTGTGGCCATTCTGGTCCATGCCAGGTCTGAGTCAGGAAAGCGGTTCTTAATTGCTGTGTTAAATGTGTGCATGGATCCGATTACGAATCTTATTCCTGTGTACTTCTAGATGAGTTTAGCATCTGTTTGCATCTGAATCAGGGAGCAAGAATACACCAGAAGCAGCTCCTGCACTGAGGATGGACTTGGGAAGGGCTCAAGAAGCCCCAGAGCTTTACTACTGGTTCCTGGGTTCAGCTGTATTATCCCAACTGGCGCATGCTGGGTCTGCACTAGAAGGCTAGAGAGCGTGGTACTGTATTCAGAGAAACCTGTTATGCATTCATTTATTCACCTTTTCAGCAACTATCTTTATTCATTTACCTTCACTTATTCATTTACCTATCTTTATTCATTTGCATTTATTCCTCTTATTATAGATCTCGCCAGGCTCTGATAGACGGTGGAAGGATTAGGTTTTCATTCTCTGGCTGGTGTGAATTCATGCCCACACAAATTCCCACTTTGGCCTGGAGGGCTCTGACTTTTAGCCACGAGGTGGGGTGAGCAGCTAAATTCCTGATCTGAGCATGTGCAAGCAAATGCAAAGCAGACCACCATGTAGTCAGGTTCTGACAAGCCAAATCACTGGAAAAAATTTCTTCTCAGCTTCAGCATTTGGTGCTCAATATGTAGAAACGGGCAACCTTAAACCCAAAGTTTCCAAAACACATGCACACGGGGCATGTGCATAACGCAAAATACAGCACATGCACGGCGCAGGGAGGCAGCTGTGCTGAGCAGCGCGAGCTGGCGCCTGAGGTTGCCTTCTCTGCGCGCCCTGCTCCCGCGCAAACCGGGGCGGGGGGGTTGCACTGCATGCAGCGGGGACGCAGGGCATTGCACAAACAGGCCTCTCGCCGCAGACCTCTCACTGTTCAGCCTTGCACCGTGTCCAGCCTTCAGGCAGGAACCACAGAAAGGAACAGGCTCAGAGCAGTTCAGTAGTGAAATAGTTATCTCGACTGGCTTCCTCAGTAACTCTTGGAAAGTCCCTGAAATGACGTTTCCAACCTAACAATTAAAACGGGTTTAATTATAGAGAGGTTCAGAGCCCTGGGAACAAGCACCATCTACAGAATAAGTAAACAACTGCAGAAAATAATAGTCTCTCTGCTTGTTACTCCACACTTCTGGCCAAGCAGGAAAAAAAAAAAAAACTAGAAAGAGAAGGAAATTCGAGGAACCTGATCACTCTCCTTAAATAAATAATAATAATAAAAAAAACAGAAATCTGGAATAGCTGGAGCCTGTGGGCGTTTCTCTCAGTTGGTTATTTTGGCTGTTCTTGAAGACCGAAGGAGGAGAAAAGGATCAGCCGCCAGTTCAAAGTCCAGATCCTGAGACTCTAAAGCAAACAGAAGAGGAAGCGGATCATTTGTTTTAAGTTTTCAGTGTGTTCGTCCTTCAAGGTTTTCACTCTGCTGCCCAAAGCACTGGTTTCATTTCTGCCGTCCAAGTTGGAGCAAGGAGAAGAGGAAGAGTTTGCAGTGCCGTACCGCGGCCGAGGAAGGGGCCCCTCCTCGCCCCGCTGCGTCGGCGAGAGAGCACCAGATGCCGTCGCTTGGCCTCAGATGAAACGCCCGCTAAAGTTAGGGCGAGCGTTGCCTCGCGGGGGGCTAAAGGCTTAGGCGCAGCAGATTTCACGCTGAAGCACCCTAATATCAAAAAGCCTTGAAGCGTTTTACATTTTTTACAAAGAAACTCCCCCCCCTCCCCTCCCCCCGCTATCAATATCAGTATGAATCATGCTTTACCTACTAAAAGCTGGAACAGAAATGCTACTTCTTTCAGTTTTACAATTTTGAGTTCTGGGGGCCTGACTGGAGGAGGAGTATAGGGGGAGGAAAGGCAGAATTTATCAAACACTCTTTTTTGGGGCAAAAACATATTTTAATGATTTAAATGAAAGTGGATGAGAGCTATTTCCTCTTGCAAGAGCCTGCCAGGTTTCAATAAAAAATGGAAAAAAGTAGTAAGGCTCAGAGGTGGTGTGTGAATCAACATGAAGACAGTCAGCTTGCAAAAATGCAAGGACGGCAGCCGCGCTGAAAATGGATTCAATCAATTTAAATCAAAGTAGACAAATCCAAGCTAGCCTAAACTGGAAATAAGTCCTGAGAGTTGTGAAACACGATGCACAGCTCAGCTGCAGCCCTTGCTGCTCCAACGGCTCCAGTATAAACAGTTTATATGTGCTCTGGGGTTTTATTTTACATGGGCTAAATAACTGCCTCTGCAGAACGTATCGCGGAGGTGAGAGACTTGCACGGACTCCTGTTCCGACCCGGCCTTTCTAAAGAAACGTGCTCGCAATTAGGTGACCTAATTATATTGCAATGGAAAACGCAGTCAGCGCACGCGGTTTCATAACAAGGCCTCCGCTGGTGGAACAAACCCCGGCGGGCGCGGAGCACGCGTGGAA